AGACTTGTACTCCAGGACGGCCAGGCCTTGGCCATGTGATTAATTCTTATTGAGCATATCACTCAAGCAGAGTCAATAAAATGTGATTAATATATTGATGCTTTTTTCCTGGGAGCCATAAATATATGCAGGCTGAAGCTGTTTAGGGCCTTCTTCCCTGGCTTCTTGGAAGAAAATATTAGAAGTGGATTCATCAGTTTGAATATACTGGTGTGACATTCGGGAGAGAAGTCTCGGCCAGAGATGGAAATTTGGGAACCATCTGGACATATAAGATCATGGAGGAATGAGGAATTACTGTAGAAGTGCTAGCAGAAAGTTGTCTCACTGGCCTCACAGAAAATTGTCTTCAATTAAAAAGCAAGGTGAGGCGGAAGAACCTGCCACTTCAGAGAACATCACTTGCCATCACCAAATCTCCTTCTAAGTATGCCATAATGAAGAGCTGACTTCAACCGGTGACCCTGGGGCTCTACCCTTGCCCACAGCTGCCCCCAACAGGTAGGTATAGACTGTGAAAATGTGTATTTATCTTTCCTGACAACTAGCCTCCTTTCCCTTTAATGACTTTTTATAAGATTTTATTTTTTATATAATCTTTCCACCCAGTGTGGGGCTCAAACTCACAACCCCAACATTAAGAGCTTCATGCTCCACTGATTGAGTCAGCCAGGTGCCCCCTTCGATGACTTTTGATAGTAATTTAAAAAACAACTTATGTATTAAATGACATTTGGTCTACTATTATAGATTCCACAAGCTTTTCCCTTGGTATGAACTTTAGTCTCTCATATCCCCCAGAAGACCCATTTATTTACCTCACATTAACACAAATCTATACATATGATAAAATTTCAATTATAAACACACATCTCATATGGATACATGTAAAAACTGGTGAAATCTGAATAATGTCCATAGTTTGGTTAGTAGTTGATAGTAGTGTAACAATATGGGGTGCCTGGGTGGCTCAGATGGTTAAGCATCCAACTGCTGATTTTGGCTCAGGTCATGATCTCAGGGTTGTGGGATCAAGCCCCACACTGGGCTCAGTTCTGAGTTGGCTTGAGATTCTCTCTCTCCCTCTCCTTCTGCCCTTCTTCCCAACCCATTCCCCACCTCTAAAATAAATAAATTAAAAAAAATAGTATTGTAGCAATGTCAGTGCCTAGTTCTGATAATTATACTATGGTAGTATAAAATGTTATCATTGGGCTAGGGTGGGTAAAGGGTATATGGGAACTTTCTGTATTATTTTTGAAACTTCTATGCAAATGTTAAATTATTTCAAAATAGTTTTTAAAAATCCAGGGGAGGAATCCTTGTGGACTGGCCATCTTAGAATCTTAGACTCCAGGGCAGCCCCAGTGGCCCATGGGTTTAGCGCCACCTTCAGCCAGGGTGTGATCTGGAGACCCAGGGTTGAGTCCCACTGGGGTCAGGCTCCCTGCATGGAGCCTGCTTCTCCTCCTGCCTGTGTCTCTGCCTCTCTCTCTCTCTCTCTCTCTCTCTGTGTGTGTGTGTATCTCATGAATAAATAAATAAATAAAATCTTTTTAAAAAAAGAATATTAGACTCTAAAATATTTACTTAATGGCTAAAATTTAAAAGATTGACAATACCAAGTGTTGACAAGGATGTGGCACAATGGGAACTCTCATTAATTGCTGGTGACTATGCAAATTGATAACATTACTTTGGAAAATGGTTTTGGTAATAACTACTAATGTTGAATACATGTATATCACAAGATGCAGCAATTCCATTCCTAGGTGTATTGCAATTTACATAGAAGTAAAAACCAGGTAAAATTAAAAGAGAGTTAGAAATGGTTATCTAGGGGGTAATGGAGAGATTAATGGTTGTGATGGGACATGATGGGTGTTTCTGGGAGTTAACAATGTTCTATTTCTTGACCTAGATGATGATCACGAGTATTCATTTTGTAATAATTAATGGAATTATATCTCTACTTTGTGCACTTTTGTGCTTATCTGTTATACTTCAAAAAAAAAGGTTAAAAACAAAAAGAGAGCAAGAGGGATGCCTGGGCTCAGGGTGTGATCCTGGAGTCCCGGGATGGAGTCCCACATCAGGCTCCCCACATGGAGCCTGCTTCTCCCTCTGCCATTTTCTGTGCCTCTCTCTCTCTCACACACACATAAGTAGATAAATAAAATCTTTAAAAAAGAGAGAGAGAGCAAGAAATGTAGAGTCTACATTTAGATAACTATGATTTATCCTTTCTAAGTTCATTAATACAAAATATGGTCAAATTGTCCAGTCAGATGGAGCTATAGTCTCCATCTCAAAGGTAGATGGGACACTGGGGGGTGGGGTGGGGAGAGTTGTCTCCTTGGATATAGGAAAAATAAACTAAAGAAATTTTCCACTGATCTTGTTCTGCACATCTTAAAGCTCATTTAGTCTGACTTAATGCTTATAGGTATTCCAGACAGCTAGTCTCCTAGGTATTCCAGTTTTCATTTGGTAACATTTGTAGCTGAATAATAATGTTTATCTTCCTGCCTGGCTGTCCCATCTTTCTAAATTTATCCTAACATTCTAATTTTTCTACAAAAATAGCCTCTACTTTTTTATTATACAAAAGAGTTTTATAAAATAAAGGTACCGTAAGCATTATACACAACCATTTGCCTCATTCCAAATTGTCTTCGGGTGTTTTTTTTATTTTTTAAAATATTTTATTTTATTTATTCATGAGAGACAGAGAGAGGCAGAGACACAGGCAAAGGGAGAAGCAGGCTCCATGCACCGGGAGCCCGACGTGGGACTCGACCCCGGGTCTCCAGGATCGCGCCCTGGGCCAAAGGCAGGCGCCAAACCACTGCGCCACCCAGGGATCCCCTGTTCAAGATATTTTAACTTCACTCTCTTCATCTGAATCTAGTTTCCCTCATCTAGATGCAAAGGATGCTGCCACCTGGTTTCTCTCATTGCAGTACATTATCTAAACTAGAGAAACCTTTTCTCATGGTCCAACAGTTTTTCATGACCCAAACTGAGCCAATATTTCAAAGTATGAATATGCAAAAATTGTATGAGAATAGATGCTACTGAAAGTCTTTTGCAGTCTGAATGGATAGTGTCAGATAATGAGGATCTGGGAACATACCTAGACTTGCAAACTGTCTCTTGCAAAAAATTCCTTTCTAAAACTATTTTTACAATATGTGGTGTTTTCCCTGGAACAAATCTTTAGTAAGAGTAGATCTAGGGGCACCTGAGTAGCTCAGTCAGTTAAGTGGCTGCCTCTGGCTCAGGTCACGATCTCAGTGTCCTGGGATCTAGCCAGTGATGGGCTCCCTGCTCTAGGGAAACTTGCTTCTCCCTCTCCCTGCAGCCACCTCCGCCCCCCGCCCCGCTTTATTCTCTCCCTCTGTCAAATAAATGAGTAAAATCGGAAAGAAAAGAAAGAAAGAAAGAAAGAAAGAAATAAAGAAAGAAAGAAAGAAAGAAAGAAAGAGAAAGAAAGAGAGAAAGAAAGAAAGAGAGAGAGAGAGAAAGATCTGTAGTGTCAACATCTTTGGTGCCTACTGTATGCACGGTCGTTATTGTCACCAACCGCAGGCCCACCAGAGGGCGCTCGTTCCCCGTCTATCCAGTCTTCAATCAGCGACTCTGAAAATCCAAATTAAACTTGACTTTCACACACAGGAAGTCTTTCACATTTAATCCACAAATATTTACCAAGAATTTACTGTGCCGCCAGGCGCAGGGCTAGGTGCACAAGATACAGGGAAGCGTTAGGCATGATTCCTAATACGGCTTAGAGTACAGCAAAGACTGGAAAGTAAACAATCTGCTACAATAAAGTGAGGTGAGTGAAGAGTTTCTAGGTCTGGGGAGTTTGTTGTTTAAATACTGGCTCTGAGTCTTAGAAACTAGTAATAATTCTTTATGAAATCCCCTTCCGTTCAGTATACTGGGAGTGATCTCCACCCTCCAGGCATTTTGTAATTCAGAGCCAGAGACCTCCTTGAGTGGCTCTGTTGGCTCCACATTCAAGTTCCTTCCTACCCTCCCTTCCCCTGTTTTCTTTCAAGGCTTCCTGCAGTTCTTTTACAGTGCACTTCTGCTCCAGGTCAACTCAGACGGCCCCAAGGCCACGGGATTATCCACGACTGGCAGCTATCGCGGGCTCCGCCCCTTCTTGTTCTGGTTTGAAACCCGCGGCCTTTCCTGCTCGTCTTTCCTTGACTTCCTGTTCTGATTCTCGCGACAGTTGCGAGACTTCGCGTGAAGTTCACCCCCTGTCCTTCTTGAGTTTTGGACACGAGGTGACTGTATCGGTGTTCGCACACCTTGTGGGAGCCTCCCGGCCAGTAGTGGTGTGCATGCTGCTAGGGAACCCCTAAGTGAAAGGGCTTGTCCGAGTTCAGGTCCGGAGAGGGAGTCCTGGACCGCATCCAGGAGTTTGACGCTCCGGGCCTCCAGTACGCATGCGGAGTCGCCCGCCCTGGACTTAGGGGTTGGTCAGGAGGCCCGCGTCCAAGCCGCTAGGCTGGGGGCCAGGTCCTTCTGGGCCGAGACTGCTAAGTACCGTCACCTCCCCAGCTGCAAAGCTCAGTTTCCACCCCCTGCAAACTGAACCGCAGCGCGGCTTCTGTAAGCCGCTTGGGGCAGGCTAGGGCGGGGCCTGGCAGACCCCCGGAAAGGCGGGCGGGCGGGCCTCCAGGAACGCTCTCCTCCCCGCCCCCAGCCCAAAGTGCCACGGTGGCGCTGGTGGCGGCCGCGAGACCGAATGCAAATGTAACCTGTAATCCCGACCCGGAGCGAGGTCCGCTGGGGAGGCGCCCCGCCCACCTCTCCCTGCGGCTGCTAGTCGGCTGGGACCTCTATAATCACCGCTGTCCGCCGGCTGAAGCACCTGCCGGATGTGGGGAGGGTGGAGGAGGCCAGTTGTGGGGTGGCAGATGTAAGCGCCAAGTCTCTGGTCAGCGCCTTGGTAGGGAAGCTGGATGGACAAGAAGCCTTCGATAGCCCCAGGAAGCCGGCCCTGGGCTGCGGGGAGACTGCGTTGGTTGGCGCTGCCCTCCAGGAGCGCCGACTTGGCACCAGAGCTCCTACCTCCTCCCCATTCTGCAGCCGTTCTAGCAGACCCCAGGGGCTGTGAAGTCCGATGGGACAAGCCCCAGACCTTCACTCAGCCCTTCGAGCTTCCCAGCCACCCCCAGATCCCGTACTCCCAACGCCCACCCCAGCCTGTCCCGAGTTTTCTCCGAGCTTCGGTGTCCGGTTACGGCTCCCCACTTCTCACTGTGACTTTGGCCCAGCTAGGGAAGTGGCCCAGAAGGGTCCCGTGCGGCTGCATAAAATTGGCAGCTTTAGACCTGGAGGGAGGGGGTTGTGTTCGACGTCGAGAGGCGGGGAGAGGGGGCGGAGGAGTTGTTCTCCGACTGCAAGTCCGTGGGTTCTCTCAGAGATCCTCAAGCCGGAGCAGAGGTGGCTGGCAGGCCCAGCCGGTGGCTGGCCTCTGCTTTCTTTCCACAAACTGCTTTTTCGGACTGGAGCTAGGCTGCTCTGAAGGGCTTAGTCCTGGACACCAGGTGAGTGGGCTCTGTGCCCCAGGGCATTACTCTTTCCCTGTTCCCACCCTTGGTAACAATTTTTCAGTTCTGGCACCATCCATTCCCATCCACCTCTAGGGCAGGAAGCTTCAGAGCTGGGTGGTAAGTGGTGCTGCTGTTGGGGTGTGTCTGTGTGCGTGCGCGCGCGTGCGCTGGTGCTTGAGCTTTGTTACCCTTTCTTCTCATTTCTCCCCAACCCCAGAAACACAGCCCAATCAATAACTGGATGACTCCTAGAAAGTCGCCAGGCCTGTTGTGGAGGATCGACTTGACTCCAACGAAGCAGGGGAGGGTGGGCAGTGCTCGGGTCAAACTTTGGTACAAGGAACAGTGAGGTTTTCTCTGACCTGACCTGGCTTCCCTCCCTGGCAGGGTGCCACGAACGCGCTGATGCCCGGAGTGCTCGCAGGGCTTCCAGCTAACCATGCCACCGCCACCCGCTGCTGCCCTGGCTCTGCCCTCGCTACTGCTGCTGCTGCTGCTGCTACGGACGCCGCCCCCGACAGGCGCGCGGCCGTCCGCAGGCCCCGATTACCTGCGGCGCGGCTGGCTGCGGCTGCTGGCGGAGGGCGAGGGCTGCGCTCCCTGCCGGCCAGAAGACTGCGCCGCGCCGCGGGGCTGCCTGGCCGGCCGGGTGCGCGACGCGTGCGGCTGCTGTTGGGAATGCGCCAACCTCGAGGGCCAGCTCTGCGACCTGGACCCCAGCGCCCACTTCTATGGGCGCTGCGGCGAGCAGCTTGAGTGCCGGTTGGACGCAGGCGGCGACCTGAGCCGCGGAGAGGTTCCGGAGCCTCTGTGTGCCTGCCGCTCGCAGCGCCCGCTTTGCGGATCCGACGGCCGCACCTACGCGCAGATCTGCCGCCTGCAGGAGGCGGCCCGTGCTCGGCCGGACGCCAACCTCACTGTGGCGCACCCGGGGCCCTGCGAATCGGGTACGCGCGGCCCTGGGGCCCTACCCCCGGCACTTGGGGCACTCGAGTCATTGCTCCCCGACCTCCGACTGAACTGGTTTCTGGCCAGCGGAGCGGAAAAGACGAGGCCTCGAGTCCAGTGTAAGAGCCGGCTCTCGAAGCTGGTTGGCAGAGCCCGCCGCCTGAAGGTGCGGTCCGAGTTCTGTCCCTAAGCTGTGTGCCCTGGAGAAAGCTCCAGACGTGGCGGGCACAGAGCCAATGGCTGGTCCCAAAACTGAGAGTGAAGAGACTCCCAGACTTTGCCCAGATCGCTGGAGCCCAGGCAGGGAGACTTGGGTTCCAGAAAGATACAATATGGTTTCTCTTGGGCAGATTCCAATTCGATTCGTAGTGGAGCGAGCTGTTAGCCCAGTCTGCCCACCTCCCTTCTCTTCTTTCGGTGCCTCTGGATTCCTGAAGGAGGGGGCGCTTCCAGCTCCTCCCTCCCGTCCCAGGGGGGCTGAGGGCCATTCAAGCCTCAGGTTTCCTTTGGCAGCATTACTTCACTTTCACTTCCTGAGCCCCTTTGAGGGAGCTGAGCTGGCCTGGCTGGGGCTGCCAGGAAAACAAACACCAGCGGGGTCCCAAGATTTTACCCCAGAACTTCAGGCTCTCGCTGCCTGGATCTGGTTTCAGGTTCTCTGCCTTTCTCACGTGGGAACCCCCCTCCTCCACCCCCATCCCCTGTCTAAGAGTGTGTGTGGAGGAAGGGTTGCTCTCTGGGTCTTTGGCAACTGGACCTGGTTAGGAAGGAGGGAGGGAAGGGGGAGGTGTTGGTAACAAAGTAGAGCAGGATGGAGGCCTCAAGGGTGGAATGAGGACAAGGGAGCAATTGGGGATAGAGTGTGGCTGCCAACCTGGGATGTGGATCTGTGTGCTTGTTTGTGCATCCTGTCTGCATGTACCTCTCCATTTCTGAGTTTGTGCGTTGTGTGTACCTGTACCTACATTTCTATGTACCGGTGTGTATCTGTCATGCCATGTTTATGGATGTGTATTTACCTCAGTGTTTATTGTCTTTCCCCACAAACATATCCATGATGGTTCATACACATACGGGCGGGCTTCTTGCTGGATCAGGTGTGCCATGCTGTTCTCAGGCCTCCCACCTCCATCCCTAGAGCCTCAGATCCTGTTGCACCCATATGACATTTGGAACGTGACGGGGCAGGACGTGATCTTTGGCTGTGAGGTGTTTGCATACCCCATGGCATCCATCGAGTGGAGGAAGGACGGCTTGGACATTCAGCTACCAGGGGATGATCCCCACATCTCAGTGCAGGTAGGATAGGGAGCAGAGGCCTCCTTGGGCAGCCCAGGATCCCCCTAGAAGGACCCTGCTGACTCCTCCTCTGGCTCTAGTTCAGGGGTGGACCCCAGAGGTTTGAGGTGACAGGCTGGCTACAGATCCAGGCTGTGCGTTCCAGCGATGAGGGTATCTACCGCTGCCTGGCCCGCAATGCTCTGGGCCAGGTGGAGGCCCCAGCTAGCCTGACAGTGCTCACACCAGGTAAGGGGGAGCCCTGGGCTCTGGGGGCTGGGGGCCTAGGGGTGGATTCAGGCTCTTGAATGTGTATCCCTGTGTGTATGTGTATGTGGGTGAAAAGGCAGGTATGGCTTTCTCATAGCCTGGGGGTACTGACAGCCCCTCTTTTCTCTCCCCTTTGCCCACATGTGTTTGCAGACCAGCTGAACTCCACAGGCATCCCCCAGCTGCCATCCCTGCATCTGGTTCCTGAGGAGGTTGAGAGTGAAGAGGGAGAAGATTATTACTAGGTCTGGATCCCTGGCCTATGGGGATGGGGGAATGGGGGATAGTATTAATCCCTGCTCTTGAAAAGACCTAAAAGGGGGAGCAGGGCTCTTTCATTGCTTTCATGCCCTTAATAGGGGAGACCTGGTGGTGGTTAAGTAGGGAGACAAAAGTTGGAGGAGAGTAAGGAAAGAGGTAAAGGAGAGGGGAGGTGGGAAGCCGAAGGGCCCATGGAGGAGGTGCCCTGGCCAGGACAATCTCCAGTGTGGACCAACCAGGCAGAAGACAGCAGCTGCCTGCTAATCCCCAGGGTGGGAGTATTATGGGGTGCAGAGCAGACACAAAGAGGCAGCCAGGATCCTCCTCTTCTTTCTGACAGCCCTCCCTCTAGCCCTGCTCAGCCAGTCTTCCTAACTACCCTTTACCACAGCTCCTGCTGTTGTTTTTCTAGTCCTAGTCCCTAACCTTTGCCTAGCCTTGGTTTACCCTTCCTCAAAACTCATCTAGAAATTCTCCCCCTCACCTAAGTTCCAATTGCACTTACTAACCGCAGTCCTCTTTGCTATTGGGCATCTGTTGTCTGGAAAAGCATAACGGAGCATGATTTAGTCCAGGCATTTGGTCATGCCTAACTTCTCCTGTCATTCTGGAAACTCTGTGAGGCCAGCACCATATACCACTCTGTATTGGACAATGCCTAGCACAAGACTAGGCACAGTAGGCACACAATAAAGATTTATGAACAAACTGAGGCACACAGATGCACAGGTGGTTCATGCAGGTGTGCACACGAAGACCGCATTTCCCTGGGAGGCTTCCCATGGTATAGTAGGACACTGGCTTCCAGAAGCTGTAGGTCCTGCTCTCTAAGCACATGCCTGCCAGATGTACAGAGAGGAAGCTTGAGCTGGGGCCTACCCTGCCCTCTAGGGAGGAAGTTTGAAGCCATCTGGTTGGAGGGAGGGTATTCTTCGAGTCTGCACTCCATTTGGGCTGGACTAGTTAGATTGCCTGCCTCTCTGTTCAACCCACTCTGGTCCCTGCCCCAGGCAGAGTAGGGAACCAGGTCTATGTGGGTAGAACCCCAGTGTAAAAGCACATACTGGATGAACGAGAGGAGACTCTGGGCCATGAGCATGGGCTGCACCCTAGGATTCCCCCTTGGAATCCACCCATTTCCCTGCTGCAACCAAGCAAAGTCAGGTAAGCCTGTTTCCTCAGCTGCCAACTGTGACCTAGCTGGCTGGGGGTCCGTCCAGGAGCCGGTTTTTCATTCCCCACATCTCTCTCCATGCTGGCCATACCTAGCCTGGGTGAGGCTCAGTGTTTATTGACTGATTGAAGCAGAAAATGAAAACTTAAGTTCAGGAGGCCAAGATCTAGTGTATGGTTGGCGACAGTCTCCTACGCGCCGGGGCCACGCCCAGAGCCTGGCGCCACCACAGGAGAGATTGCAGTTGGCTCGGTGTCTGAGCTTGTCCTCTGGGGCCCAAGGCAGGGAGCCCGGGCTCTCGGGAGGGGCGTGGTCCGGAATCCTCACCCGAGGGCTTGGCAGTCCCTCCCGCAGAACCGCAGGGCTCCTCCAGAGGCTGAGCCAGAGGACAGCTCTTTAGTCCTGTCTGGAGCCAGGAGGCCCCAGGAACTGCGCTCGACGGCTCGAGCAGGTTGGATACTTGGGGCGAATTCCAAGACCACCGCGGAAGCAGGAGTAGGGTTGTGAACCCTGTGCCAAGTATAGGGGGGCTCGTGCTGTCCCGCAGAAGGAGGTCGGCTCCACGCGGAAGGAGGGGACGCGGTCTGGGCTCTGTGGCAGCCTGGGATTGCGACCCTGGCTAAGGGCTTCGCCCAGCTGTGCTCGAAGGCGCCCCCTGGCGGGTCCGTCGATAACACGTGCCCACCTGAGGAGCGGAGACGCAACCCTACCCAAGGGGATCACAAGCACCCCCGGGAGTCCGTACTCCTTGATCACTTTTGCAGACTTTGTAGAGAATTGAAATGCAGCCTCTCTGTAGCCTCAGTTTCCCCCTCCCGGCCCTGCTGATTCAGGCCGCAGAGCCTGGAATAGAAGGAATCCCTGCTGCTCCACCCCCGCCCCCTCCCCGTCTCTGCTCCGCGGACGGGCTTTAATAACGTCGCTGGAAAGTGACACGCGATTTATTATTAAAGTAATGCAGGGACGGGAAAGGTTTAATAAACGCGCTGCGATGCCGAGGATTATTCACCGCAAATAAATGAGTGCGCGGGCATGTTTTAATAAATAATTTCCCGCTGCTCCCGGGGGAAGAGAGGGGAAGAGTGGGGGGGGGGGATGCTGAGCCGCTGCCAGAACTCTCGGCCTCGCCTCCCTCACGGGTTTTCCAGCCTTGCCTGCGTTTTTCGTTCGCGGTTGCTCACACCCGAAGTGTGAGAGGTTCCAAGAGAGCTGACTCTGAGTGTCCCACCCTACTTCTCCCATCTCTGGGATTTTAAGTGGTTTGCTTAAGATGAGAGAATGCACTTCGACTCCGAACCCGAGATCCCGAGTCAACACTGTACCGGTGCAGGAGGGGTTAACCGGGACCAGCTCCTCCCTAGCCGAGGGTTCTAGGTTCCAGGGTCTGGCCGTTCTCTCCGCTTTTGGCTGACCCCCCGGCTGGGCGTCCAGGGCGGGATGTCGGGAGTACACCGAGGTTGGGGGGCTGTGTGTACAGGTGTGTAGGCGCCACGTGTGTACAAATGACCCTGACTCCCTCGTGCGCCGTAGTGAGGAATCTGCTTATTACTAGGAAGGCTCCTAGTAAAGGTCCTTGAGCTGCGCTGTTCTGAACGATGGAGTCCGGGTGAAGCCCAACTTTTGGCTCACTGGTGAATGAGGGTGGATTTGAGGACTGAGCCGAACTGCCCCCCCCAAGGGGAGTCCACCCCTCCAACAGAAGCCTGGAGGCCCGAAGGGATGAGCCCGACTTCGGAGAAGCTCGAGATTGCAGTCTTTGGGGACCAAGGGCACGCCCACCGTCCTGCTGCGTATGGGAGTGAGGGCGAAAGCCTGGGGTACACCGGCTCCGCGTTTTCCACCTCGGCCGAAAGGGACGACAGCTCTGGCGACATCTCTGGCAACACTTGGGAGTACGGGAAGTGGCAAAAGAGTGCCATCTGGTGGATATTTCTGGTTGTAGCAGCCAGGCCCGGGCCAGGGGGCCTTAAGACAGTTAAATAGGAAAAATTTGAGTAAAAAGATGCTTCCGTTTGTATTCATTTATGTATGTGAATGTGCACGTGTGTGTAATATATACGTGGCATCTCTGTGTGATATATATGTAATATCAGTATGTTCCTAGTTATGTGTGTACTTGCATGCATTATATATGAGGTGTATATATACATGTATATACTATATTATAACATGTGTTATACATGTGGGTTATCTAAAAGCACATGTGTGTGTGGATAGCCACATGGATACATGTATACATGTGTGTCCATAAGCACTGTATATATGGATGTATTCTTATAAGTGTATATAGCTGTATGTGTACATTTATTTGCAAGTGTGTGTTCCATTATGTGCTGTTAGCTCAACAAATATTTGTCCTGTGCCAACATTGTTATAGGAACTGGAAATGCATCACAGGAAAACACATTGTCCCTGACCTTACAGAGCTTATGTTCTCTTGTAAAATGTGCATGAGAATGTATGTATACTTAGATTAATTATGTATGTGCATATTTACATGATTATGTGCACATATGTGTGTAACTCTCCACACATGTGAGGCACAGACAGGCCTAAATACTCTTCTGGTGGACTTGGAGACTCTTTGAGCTCTTTTTTTGCTCAAAAGTTCAGGTCTTGTCACTTAGGACTCTAACTGTGCAGGCAGCTTAGGGCAGAGGGAAAGAGGCTGGAGACATAGGCCCATTCCCTCCTGGGATGTGTTTTGGTCACCTCTCCAGCCCTCCAAATGACTAGGTTCTTTCTCATTGGGTGAACAGCTATGGAAATCCACTCAGGGAAATGAGATGTTAATGAAGATCAACTCTTACCTGTCAATGCAAAGCACCTTGGGAAGGAAGGATGATGGTTGGAATGTGTGGGTGTGCGGTCTGGGAAGCTGGGGGTTGGAATGAGTTTTCTGAGGGCAGTGGTGGGTGCATTTAGAGACTAGGAAGGATCTGGTCTTGAAGGTAGTGGTGGGAGCTCTGGGAGTCAGTTGCAGATAATAGAGGGTGGTTTGAGGACTCTGGGAGGGTTGGTCTGGTAGAGAGAGATGGGGCTGTGGGGGGGCAAGGAGGGTGGTAATGAGATCAGCATCAGAGACAGAGTTGAGGGGGTGGAGCGATAGAGGCTCTGGTGGCAATCTTAGGGCAGAATCTGGAAGCTAGCTCAGTTGGAGCTATCCCTGTCTTTCTTCCCACCCTCCCTTCTCCAGGCTGGGGCCCCTATGTTCCTTCGTCCTCTCTCTGCTCAAGATGGATCCCAGATGTGCTGGTGGCAAAGAAGAGTGTAGGCTCCAGAGCTTGGCCTGGCTTAGGTGACTCACAGGTAGGCAAGGTGAGGCCCCGCTCCCAACACCACTGTACCATGAAGCCTCATCCCAGCCAGCTGGGCCACTGCCCACCCAGTTGCCATTACCGGCTTTCAGTTTGGGCTCAGCACCAGGGGTTCAAATGAGAGTGAGGCCTGGACCTGGAAAGGGTCATCATAGACGCCCCCTCCCCACATACACCCACACATTTCCAGGACTGAATTAGGAAAGGTGCTTTTGAATGATTTCTTCCTTCCTTCCCTCCTTTGCTAGATGTTTTCCAGATGTAGTCAAGGCCAGGAGTCTTCAGGTACATCCTCACCCTTGGTCTGGGGCAGCACCTCATGCCTGACTACTTCACCCCAAAACCAGGGTTTCTGTCCCTTTGTTGCCTCTCTTCACTTTGTTTAGCCTCTCTTTTATTTCCAGGACTGAAGTCTTAGATGCTGGGGCTGTGTCTCCCCTGGTCGGAGGCATGGCAGAGGGGCTGAAGACATGGGCTGACTCCTGGCCATGTGAGTGACTGAAGGCTCTCTGAACAGGGAGAAGAGTTATGAAAACCAATTTGGGTGACAAATGTTTCTCCGCGATCAAATCTCACCTTCTCCCCTTGGTGGGCAGCATCTTGGGAGGCAACCCGGACTTGAGGGTCTGGAGTTCCCTGGGAGAAAAGACAGAGTCTTTGTGAGAAGTGACAGGTTCTCCCAGGATGAAAGTGCGGATCTAGGGACAAATATTCCTACCTCCCCCCACCAACCCCCATCCCAGATCACTGAAGCAGGGCTGGTGAGGCCACACAGGCCTCCTGGATTCAGCTGGCCTTTCAGGGACCCAGGTTCTAACTCTGGCTTCCCATTTCCCCCTGCCCTCCCCCACAGTGTGAACCTGTGGAAGAAGGGTTTAAGTTCTGAGGTTAGTAGTGTGGGGAGGGCTCTCACTGGCAGTGGTCTCTGAAGGGCAATGAAGGGTCTTTGGGAGCAGAACTAGGGCTCGGAGGTCAAGGATAGCCTGGCAGGGGCACATAAGGTTTTGTAGCACAGGTCTGAATGTCAGTTTTACCACTTTTTAAGTGCATATCCTGGGTAGTTTTCTTAGCTTCCCTTCTGTGCCCTCCTCTGAAAGGTAATATAAAACTTCCTCTGTAGAGGTTGTGATGACAGTAGAGGTCTTATAAGTATTGTTTCTGGAACATAATAGGTGTTCAATAAATGATCAATTTTACTACTATAATTTCTGGGCAGAGGAG